GGAGTGAGAGAAGGAAAAGGGAGAGTTCAGGACACCTGATCCCTGGCTCCCCTTTCCTGGGGCAACAACCCTCTATTTCTCCTTGTGCCTCCCCTCTCCCAGGTGCCAAATAGCCATAACCTCCTCCTCAAACTGTTCAGTGGCCTCTCCAGGGTCCAGGTTTCCTGGAGCCTAGGAATGCCAAGGAGGAGAGGAGGTGAGCTTCGGAGTCCTGGCTACAGAGACCCTGATTTTAGGCAAAGGGAACATTTCTCCCTGGAGAGCCAGGCCTGGCCTGCCCCAGGGGCACTTGAAAGCCTTGTACTAACATCGCAGAGATTCAGCCTCACCCAGCCCCTTTCAACTGTTTTCCAAAATTTTACTACTTGTCATCTTTTTGGAGACCAGGGCTGCCCTGCTGGTAGCCTGCCTCCTAAGTGGAATTGACTCTGTTTCCCCAGTTTAACCCCAAATTGGGGCTTGGACCAAGGGAGGTGAGACCCCCTCAGGTCTCCTCCCCTTTCAGAATCCATCTCATCTTGCCACTTCATACCCTGTCCCAAGCCTTGGTTTTTGTTCATTTTTTTAAAAACCGACAATGCCGTCCTATCTGTCTTGGCTTCTCCTTGTCCCTGTAAATAGACCATGCCATCAATCAGTATTCCTTGCCTCCCTTTCTGCCCCCAGACGTGCCCCCACCCCCTGAAAGAGCTGGCTGTCTCAGTGCCCTGGCCCATGCCCTCCACCCTGGCAGATGGAGGGGGCAGGGCCACAGGGCGTTTCCGGTTTCCTGGGCCAGCAGCCACCCCTGCCCAGCCCTCCAGAGGACCGCGTCTCTGTATATAATATATATATATGTATGTATTGTTCCCGGTTTTGTACGGACCATGCCCTCTGTCAGGTCATCCCCATAAAAGCAGCCCCCGGAGCCTTGCTGCCTGGTTTCTTGATTCGCTGGAGCTGGGATGGGAGGGGTCCCCTTCCACCAGCTCAGCCTCTGTCCCATAGGCTTTTGGTACAGAGTTCCCTGGTTGCAGCCAGCTGCCTCTCTGCCACCATTCAGAATCCATGCTTTTTGTCCAGTCCTCCAGGACAGGACTGGAAATTTCAGGAGACTTCATTTAGTCAATCTCATTCCTTTTTCAAGGCAAGGAATTTTGGAGTGTGGGCTGGATATGGCTAGGTGAATCCTAAGTCCCTCCCCTGAGAAGCCTTCCTAACTGTATGAGCTACATGAAGGATCCATGGTTTCCTGGAGGTGGTGGGGAAGGAGTGACACATCAGGGCAGTTTTGTCCCCAGGGTCCTAGAGAATCTTGGGAGGCCTTAAATAGCTCTGGCCCCCTGCTCTGTGCGAGCAGGTCTGGGTGCTGACTCACCAGCTCTAATACTAATGGATCTGCAAGTCTAAATGCCATGGTTCCAGGGACAAGTGTTGGTGAGATCTCAGAGAGGCAAGAGCCAACATGGAATGGGGCAGGAGCTATGGTAGGTGTCAGCGCCAGCCTTTCCTCTCTGGGCACTGGTGTGCCAATGTGAGAGAACTAAGCACAAGGCCCTTGTGTTGAGTGTTTGGCCTCAAGGGGATCCTCACCTTCACTGCTCTTTGCCAAAGGAATGAAATTCCCAACCTCAGGACCCTTCAAGGTCACCTTGATGTGTTCCTGACAATATCCAAGATGAGTAGCCAGAACTCCCAGGGACAGTAAGCTCTTGAGGCAGCTGTTCCTTGTGGATGGCTCAATCACACAGGTCTCATTCTTGTCAAGCTCTGTAGCTCAGTGGTTAGGGCACTGGTCATATACACTGGGGCTGGTGGGTTCAAACCCAGCCCAAGTCTGCTAAACAACAATGACAACTACAACAACAAAAATAGCCTGGTGTTGGCTCAGCGCCTATAGCTCAACTGGCTAAGGCGCCAGCCACATACACCTAAGGTGGCGGGTTCGAATCCCCAGCCCGGAC